AGGGCCCAGAGAACTTACCGCGCGAGGGCACCTCGAAGGCTTCCCACGGGGGACCATCGAAGTCGTGGCGGCTCGAGCTGGCCTCATCTCCGGAGTCCTGCTGTGGACGTGAAGGGTCTGGAGTGCATGGACCGTTTTCTGAGCAAGGGGGTACCAGTGCTCCAGCAATAAAGCAAGGCTTTGAAAAATTAGCAATGCCCTTGAAGCCCAAACGGAACCAGTCAGTTAGGAATGGGACAAGATGACAGAGCATATCGGGGGCACTGTGCCTTTGTGTCTTTCTTCATCTGGTTTGCAGTCACCCCTTGCAGAGGTTGGCGAGAGAGTCCCTCATGGTGAAAAATAGCCACTGCCAGCCCCTAGGAGTTCTGCACCACCTCGAAAGAGGCAGCAGCAAGCCACTTTAAAAGCAAGCAAACAAACAAAATATCTAGGCATTTCAGTATCTCAGCCTCTCTGCTCCACCACAACTTGGATTGAAGTAGGGCAGCAGTGTGTGGAATGGCGGCGCTTTGGGAAGAAACGGAATCGGCATGCGCAGCGATGCAAGCGGAGGCTTGGTCCGCGTTGCTCAAGACACAGTTCGGCATCATGAGAAGCGTCTGGACGCCGATGGGAACCACTCCGAGCACCTCTTGTAAATGCAGAAATCAAATGTGACCTTTTGTTATCAGTATGTGTTGAGCATTACAATTGTAATACAGTTCTTCCTTTCCTAAAACGTGTATACATTTTTGGGCCCCCTCTGTATATTCAAAGGACTGGTGAGATCGTGAGCAGTTGGGATGTTCATAGATGTTCCCTGACACCGCAGCACCCGAGTCGCGGCCACAGAGGCCTCATTGAAACCGGAGCTCTCTCTGTCAAGGGCTATGAATGTTTGAAAAGCGGCCCTCTGTATTTAGCTTGGGGTGCTTTTTTGGACTGCACCGTGCAAGCTGCTCTTTTCCTGCGAATCTGCATGTGCTGTAATTTGATGCCTCCTTCGTTTCTCTGCAAACCTAGTAAGTGGCCGAAAAATGACCCAGTGCTGGCTTGAAGTTTGCTGGTAAATACATAGACAGCATCGTTTAGGAAGGGTTTAGGAATGGGTGTAAATCAAGGCTGCGGGTCCACAGGTTGTGCACCAATGGGCATACGAGATTTCTACATGATTTCAGCTGCTGGTGACCCAGGAAATCCAGCCGGGAAATCATGTTTCCCGAACTTCTAACACAACGGAATTTTGGCCCATGAAAGCTTTTGGAATTATACATTTGTTAGATTTAGAGCGCTGCAAGATCCTTTGTGCTTTGAGTTTCCAGGAGCTTAGTTTACTGCTGAGTGGAAGGGCTGTTTTGGTAACTGCTGTCTGACGTCTTCCTGGCATCCTAGGAATGGAAGGAGCGTCTTTCTTCCTCTGACTGCCCCCCCCCCCCCCCCCTCCCACAAAGAAAGGTGTTTGGAACAGTGTCCCAGTGTCTGGTCTGCCCCCACAAGTATGACTTGAACAGAAAATATTCCCCTTTTGGGCTCAGAACTTTCTCCCAGTTGCCGAGTGCAGCTTTGGTCCCCAGTTTGTGCTGCCTTGGGGCGACTGTGGGGTAGAATTCAGTTTATAGGGTAAAGACGATGGCAATGTGTTGTGCATTAAAAGAGCCCTTCCACCCTTGCTGGCTCCTTGTTTTGCTCAAGCTCTTTGTCAAGCAGAACTTCCCAGCCCACAGGCTTGTTGGGTTCAAGTGTGACTCCCTGCCGCCCTTCCTTGTTGCTAGTGCGTTTATTTATGCGTAGCCTTCTCGTTTTGCATGGTCAGGTAAGCAAAAGTGGAGGCTGGCTCCCTGCCCCGAGGAGCCTGCAGTCCAGCTTCCAATGGGAAGGAGATGGGGGACGTAAGGGAGCGGAGGGGACGGACGCCCGGGGAACTGGGAAACATCTTGGACACACGGGGTGATGGATGCTCCTAAAACTGCAGTTTTAGACCCCGTTAGACAACCAAGCCTATTACTTCAGTCGCAAAGCCCGCAACTAGCCTCCCTCTCCTCTCCCGCACCCACCACTCTGTGCGCCGCAGTGCACCTGCATCTCTGAGACGTTAGCGCAACCGTCTCCGAACAAACACAGTTTGCCAGCCATGACGCAAAAGAACGCCTGTCGCTTCCACTCCTCACACGCCTTGTGAGGATACGGGGTGCACTTGGGAACCAGCCCCGTTCGGGAGGTGGAAAGGCAACGCATTTTCAAGCAAGCGTCGCAAGATGAGCCGCTGTGTTTTCGTTCCTCTGGCTCCCCCAGCTATAAAATGTTTTAGAAGGAAGAAGAAAGAGTGGGCGCTGCGGCTTGCAGCCGTCTTGGGGGCTCAGGCAGGCCTGTGCTGGGGCTGGGGGCGGCTCCCAAGCCTATCTGCCACAGGCTCCTTCTCCGCTGCTCTCCAGGTGGCCAACTTGGGGAAGGGCTTGGGATGGACGTTGGCCCCAAGTTTAGCTGCAACTGCATTATTGTGATGTTCTGGGAGGGCATTCCAGGGATAAAGGAGTCGGAAAAGGCGGTGGACGCCTTTGGGCAGCTGAGCGGGGAGACTTGATGGGAAGAGGCATGGACTGGCATCGGTCGAGGCTTCTCAGGAGCGTCTCCTGCATTCCTTGGATGTCTGCTGGCAGGAGTAGGCGGCCATGTGGGGGGGGGCGGGCAGGGGGGGGCGGGCAAATGCTTCTCCATGGATCTCCAAGCTTCAGGATATCTGGCCAACCCTGACCGTCTGGGTTTGCAGCACCGCTACGCATGCCCATCAAGTGCTGTGCAATTGACCGAATTGCCTTCGTGGTGCGTGGACCGCCCCATTGTTCAAACCAGACAATGTGTGGGGCAGGTATCCGCCCCCCCGCCAGGCCATCCCGGAGCCCACGGCTCGCTGTCACGTTCCAGAGAGGTTTGGACGGCCAGCAACGCGTGTGCCGAAAGGGAGTGGGCGACTGGCAGCGCATGCAGCCCGTGCTCACTGGGACCAGTTTGCGGCTGCTTTTCCCCGGCCGCTGTTCACGCCTTTGCCATCGGTTTCGCCCTCTTTATCTCAGGGGGCTTTGAATCTTGGCATTTAACCACCAGCATTGTTGTTTGCTGCTTCTGTTCTTCGTTTACTGTTTGGGTTTGGTTGATCATTTCCATCCACAGTATGGTGCTTTTGGTTTTAATTGCTTTTATTAGCCATCCTGGGTGTCTCATGGCAGAAAAACTGATTATAAATGCTTAAACTTACAGCATTCTCATCATGAAACATATTAAAATAATGCAAGTACTCCACATTTCCCTGCTTATATAGTCAAGATTGAGATACACCAAAGCAAAAATGATAAGCAAATACGATGGGCTGTATCACAGAAATCTGCTTTTTTAGGGAATTGCAAAAGATTATAGAGGCGTGTTATGACCCAGCAAATTGGTTCTGGTATTAATAAATTAATCCCATATTGTTCCATAATGTCTACAGAAGGTTTCCATAATCAAAAAAGGCTGATCTAAATTACTGATTTCTTTCAAATGAGAAGCAATATATAAATACTGCTAAGAAGAGAATAATAAAGAATCATGCTTACAGTTTTGTAATTCATCTGCTCCTTGAATAAGGAAGCACCCTAATTGGTTGTTTATAAGCATTAACATAACTTTTAGTGATGTTTATTCAGCAATAAATCTTAGAATGTGCAGGAGGCCAAACATCTAGGTAAATGTGCAGTGGATTGCAACATTTATTTAGTCCACTCTATTTAAAGTTATTTTAGGCCACATTTCAGGGTAATACCCTCTCAAACCAAGAATTGGTTTGCTACTAAAAAGCACTGTTACATTACCTAGGAATGTAATTTAAAACTTCTGGTCATGTAGCGCATAACTGCAGGGAAGCTGATGATGGAATTTATGGATGGCTGATTGGCTTCCTGCACAAAGGTAAGGAAAGGACAGTAGGTAAGACTACTCACTTGGATCCAGGCACCCACAAACAAGAGCTGGGCAGAACTGCATTTCCTCATGAATCTACCTTCTGCTTGAAAATATTCACAGCTGGGAAAATGGCACACTGTATTATACTGCTAAGGTTCAAACTCAGAAGTTTGCTCTTTTTCCCTCTGGTCTGCCCTCTTCACTTTCCATGCCAGGTTTCCACGAGGGCTGCTTTCCTTCCTCCTGCCTCAGCAATTCCAAAGCTTTTTTTCTCTTTATGATACAACCCCCCCCCCACCCCCGTAAAGTCTTCCCTGATAGGGCTGACCTAGAGCTAAATGGGGCAGCCTTTTGCTAGAGCAGGTTTTGGCCAGGTATGGCTTGAATAGATTGATTTAGCCAAGCCTTCCCCAACCTAGTGCTTCTGGGTATCAACTCCCATCAGCCCTGGCTAGTAGGACCAGTCGTCAGAAATCAAAGACTAACCACATCTGGAGGGCGCCAGGTTGGGGAAGGCTGAGCTGGCCATTTCCCTCTCCCTAGGGATCAGCTCTATCACGTAAACCCTTCCCTTCACAAGCAGCATTACCTTGACGCCCATTTCTTTTTAATCATTTCTGAATTTGCATCCATGAAAACAGGTGAGCATGATCGGAACTGCAGTGAGAGGTGGAGGAGTGCTTAACTCTCCCCCCACCACCATACCCCCCCCCACACGTACAACATCTGGGGCTGTTTGCAGAGTTATGTCACTGTCTGGAAGCAGAGTTGCTACTCTGGTGCAAGGTGCGAAAAGAGCAGCACCGACTGGCTGCCACTAGCTTAGACTCACACCTGGAGTCACACAGTGTGTTTGCTGGCAGGTTAGTCATCCAGTTTTAAGAGTGTTTGAGTGCAGATTGGCACAGTCTCAGTCGTAATGAATTCAGGTAAGGCTTGCAAGCAAGTTGTTTCAAGAGGTGTTTCCTATCTGATTTTCTTCTTGTTTCATTCCCTTGGACGTATGAAGTGTCTGTGGTCACAGCTGTCTCCTTGCAAGAAACTAACCTTGTTGTTCTTCCTGAACTTCTTTTGACTTCTAGCCTTAAAGATGAAAATAAAAGAGGTAAAAAAAGAAAATGGAGACAAGAAAATCATCCCGAAGAAGAAGAAGCCCCTGAAATTGGGCACCATCAAGAAGAAGGATCTGAAGAAGCTGGTGCTGTACTTAAAGAACGGAGCAGACTGTCCTTGCCACCAGCTGGACAACCTCAGCAGCCAGTTCCTCATCATGGGGCGCAAAGTGAAGGCCCAGTACCTGCTGACGGCCATCCACAAGTGGGACAAGAAGAATAAAGAATTCAAGAAGTTCATGAAGAAGATGAAGAGTCCCGAGTGCCCGACCTTCCAGTCTGTCTTCAAGTGAGCAGCTGGCGCCGGACTGGGAGACGTGCTTTGCTGGCCCTGAACTTGCACAAACTTTGCCTTGGGGCACCGAAACCGTTGGGCTCCTCCCGCTACTGTGGACGCTGTACCTTTGATTCCTCGGTGTTTCTCTCTGTCTGTGTCTTTTAGGGCCTCCTGTTTCTTGTTCTTTCCTCACCCCAATCATTTCCCCATTAGGGAAAGATCAGAAGCTGTGCAGCCCGGCTTCCAAGCACGGCTGCATCAGAGGGGGAAGCAAACCTTTGCGGCAGAACCTGGGCTCCTCTTCTCCAGTTTCGGGGTGGAAAACTGCAGTTTCAGTGAAGTAGGATTTTCTTTTGTTTCTCCTGGCAACGATTCCTTCGGGGACTGTCTCCCCCCCCCCCCCCGCATGCCCCCATCCTGGGATAATGTCGCAGTGCCACGCAGCTGCTTTAATTCGCCTGGGTGATGCAGTCACTGGCGGAGACGGGGGGCAGTATCAGCAAATGAGGCAACACACCTTTTTTGTCTCTGTTGTGGCAAGGCGCGTCCAAAGGGGGGGCATTTGGGGGTCACGGCAGAAAACGTTCACAGAACTGCCCTTTCGACACGGCTCTCCTGTGGGGCACATAAAGATGCAAGGCAGACGTGGGAGTCCCCAAGGTCACGCGAGTGTCCGGGCAGTGCCAGGACAGGCAGATCCTTTTTAAGGGGACATTCTGCCAGTGAGAACAGGCTGTTGGAAGGTCGAGGAGTGAAACAGGACCCGGCTGATTAATTCTTCCTGTCCATCTCGGTGTGAAGGCGAGTGCAGTTTCGATGCTCTGCCGTGGGTACTGGAATCTCTTGGGCCAGCCCTGATGTCGGGATGCCCGTTCCTGTAGATGCAGCTATGCTGCTCCCCGGGGCTCACAACCAAGGCCAAATCACCCCGAAGCAAATGCTGAAGCTGCGGGGTGCTTTGCCCTTGGGGAAAGGGCAGTGCTGTGCCAAGTTCCAGGGAGGCCTAGCGACCCCCGGCTGGCGAGGTCTCCCTCCCTCCCTGCAAGCCAACGTCTGGGTGGGGCTCAAGTCCCTTGGTTCTCACGAGACCTGTAGAAGGGGCCCGGTGCTCCATTCTGGTTTGGGAAGGACAACATCCAGAAAACCCCGGCTGCCGCCTAGCAGAAGTTCCTCTTGCGTGGTTGCAGCTCAGTGCAAGGGGCACGCCTTGGATGCTGCCACTCCCCAGCTCGACCCTGACATTTTAAGGTATGGTTAGGAAAGATGCCTGATCCAAACCGTCTGCTGGGATCTGACGGTCTCCGACACTGCCCCAGTTCACACACCCGTGCAAGGGGCAGTGAACACCGGGTGGGGCGTCCTGGTGGAGCAGGTGGAGGGATTGCGCTGTGCAGGGGCTGCCAAAGCACAGGCCAGGGACCCCGGCTTCAAAACACCCGAGAAATGGCTGGATTTAGAGTCATTTCGCCTTTCTGCCTTGTCCTCTGGAGGAGCTTTGCCCATGTATGGCACACAGTTATTAGAAAACAGCATTGCTTTTTCGATGGGCGGGGTGGGGCAGAGCTTTCATCACGCCGTGGGTCAGTGGCTCCCAAGCTGCACGAGCCGATTCCCTGGCTCTCTCACTCCGGCCCTGAGGTGGCGTTGCCAGAGCAGCGCACCTTGCGTGGGTTCAAGGCAGACGAACGTCTGCCTTTGCAAATGGCACACAGAACCCAAAAAGAGAGACGGAACATCCACGTGCACACGCTTTCTCGCAACTTGAAAGCATTTTCCCTTTCCTGAGGGGTGCAGCTGGACACGACTCCTTTGGCTAAATGTCGGTGGTGGTGCTGGGCACTCGAGAAAGCGCTGCTCCTGGATCTGGCCCGTGACCACCACCTGCATTCTGATTATTTACTTTAAAATGTACGCTGATGACCTGTTTTTATTTAGGGTGTTGAGTTATTTTCACTGAGCTTGAAGCTTCCTGTCTTTTTGTCCTTTTTGTAGAAGAGCCTTATTTGTGTATAACCTTATCCTTTCTCCAGGAAGACTTCCTTGACTTTTGTTTTGGTAGCTTTTCTAGTTTCGAAGTATACTTCCCTTCGCGCCCTTCCTGTTCTCGGTGGCACTCTGATTTGTTCGTTCAGTTACTTCCTTTGGTAAATGTGAGATTTTTGAACCTCTGGGTTTTAGATGAGAGTTTGTACCTGTGAGGAGATTTCCCCCACCCCTTTGTTTTCATTTTTCTATTATTATTTTTCCTACAACTAACAGCACCTAAGAGGGGAAAATACTCCTCCATCTAATGTCATACAGCATTGTTTTAGGCTACTCACATATGTTTGCATTGTGCTGTGAAGTTTCTGCACAAAGGGTGGCCTCAGAATCCAAGCAACCGCAGTGACATGATTCCCTGCGGAAAGCCAGTGACGGAAAGCTTTCGTTTCCAATATTATTTCAAAATATAATCAAGTTTCTAGCCATAACAGAGGCTGGGAAGTAACAGAAGCTACAACAGCGGTTCTTTGTTTGGGAGGCAGATGAAGTAGCTGGGCCCAGTAGAGTGGCCTGGTGTCCTCTTTTATTTGAAGCTGTCCTCTTTTCGAACTTTTTATTTGAAAAGTTTTAGTTCCAGTTTTAAAATAAAGAACCGTCTTATCTGTTTCTCCTTAACAGTTAGCACTGGGGCAACAAGCAAACAGGTCACCTAGTCATGGCATTCCACGCTATGCTGAGATGTACTATATTTCTATTAAAAATTCGTAATTACTTCTAAATTTGCATCTATACATATAAACCAGAATATCCAACTTCTATGCAAATATATGTCCTCTTTTTTGGTGATGCATTTCCTCTTTTCTGGAGACTCGTCAGTTACCACCCTCTAGCTGGGATATCTGTATTCCATCAGTCATTACTTTACACAATGTCCCTTCCAAATCACTTCCTTATTTTGGGGGCTTTGGCTGCGGGTGGTACTGAAATGTAATAAAGAAATATTTTTACACATGTGCTGCGAGTGAAAACTTGCCATTATCTCCAGCTACCACCTTTTCCCAACACCAAACTGGCATAATATTCTTTGTTACCTGAAGCAAGAATCAGACTTGCAAATTAACTCAATAAACGCAATTGTGCCCGATTTGAACACCATATTAGCATCTCAACATTGTGCATTTGTATTGATTCTTTTATCAAATAAATGGGATTTAACACATGCGCACCAATGTTCGACTGGTGAATGGCAGAGGAGGAGTGTTCTCTTCGGCAACAGCAATTCCGGGAAATTGGAGAAATGAGGAGACGAAGCACAGAAACACCCAAGATGCCCTCCCACTGGGGCGACAGGGACTGGAGGTGAAGACCCATTGGATTCTGCAGTTTGACAGAAGTCTGTATCTTCTTTCTCCTTCAGAGATAAAGTCAATCTGTCCATTTCAGCACAGTGCAAGATCTTTTTTAAAATCAGTTCGTCGGTAGGTGGTTCTTCACTCCTCCAATCCCAGAACCAGAACCTTAATTGCAACATGTTAAACTCTACAAATTTGGCATGCCTTCATATTCCTCCCTCACTCAGAGAATTTAGATTTCCAAGTTCCATCTTGGGGAATGACAGGGCAATGGAATTGAATCTCTTCCTGGCTGAGTGAGGTCCACCCTATGGGGTCCAACTCCACACTTGCTATTTTTATTGCTAACTTTAAACTGTCTATTTTCCTGGGGCTTATGCAGGAGAACTTTCCCATGGATTGTGTCCAGTGTAAATTGGTGGGGTAAGGGGGCTTCCGCTAGGGCTGGAATTCTATGCACGCTTTGGAGCAAGTCCCCGAAACCCAGCGGAACGTCTAAGTACGTGTGTGCTGATTCCTCGTGCAGCTGCCAAAGGTCCTGGCATTTCTTTGTTTTCTTAGGCAGCTTCGTGTCTTCCCATCGCCATCAGCACCACTGTCACACCCGACTTCTCTGCGTCGTGCTGCTTCGTCTGCCCCTCCCTCCCTGCTGTGGCTGACAAAGGGCGATGATGCCCCAGAGGTGCTGAAGGCTGGTGCAGGGACGAGTTTGCTTCGGCTGGAGGGAAGTGCCTGTTTCCCGCCGCCAAAATGAACCATCTGGACTCCGTAACAGGCTCCCCCACTTGGTGGTGGCCGGCAGGGGCCGGGTGCCTCCTCCGAAGTACGAGGGGAGGTCACGGGATGGGCAGCCACCCCAAACAGATCCGCTGGGATGCTGTGGGAGGCCCAGCCTGGTCCTCTTGGGGACCAGTACCACGCACGCCTTGGCAACCTTTTCTGGCCATCGGCACCGTCCGCGAGATGGCTTTGCACCCAGAGCTGTCTTTGTGCTGGGCAGGGAATGCTTTTGGCCAAACGCACGTTTCAAAAGCATCAATTTTCTCCTCGTTGGCTTTCTTTGCGGTCCAGGTTTCACACCCGGACACTGTGATTATGGTTACAGTAATGTAAGGGGAATTCCTTTGCCATTTTTTGCCTCGGGCATAGAGACATAAATTTATATAAGTGTGTGTCACCCCATCTGCAAAGGCTCTGGAAGGTTTATAAGAGATTAAAACCGGCAATAATTAAATTTTTGAGTAAAAACAGGCATAAAACTAATCTGGGAAGGCCTGATGGAAGAGATGCGTCTTTAATTCCCTCTCGAAAGCAACATTCTGGGATATCGGAGACCTCTCTCCTGGCAGCCTATTACGCAATTTTATTATTGATTGATTTATTTTTAATTTCTATACCTCCCCAGAGCCAAAGCATTCTGGACAGAACACAGCAGCATATTTAAAAACAGCATCTTTTAAAAAACTGTTTTGGGGCAACCACGGAGGAAAGTCCTCTGGGTAGTTGATTAATTTTGCAGAGGCAAACCTCGGAAGGTTATCGGTAGAGGAGCTTAGCTGGTGGGGTGGAATGTCTGGGCAAAGGTGCTCCTGAAGGTATTTTGGACCCAAGATAATTATCAATGCCTTGTATTGTGTCCGGAAATGTTTTGGCAGCTAGCGGAGAAACTCTAATACTGGTAAAATATGGACTTTCCATGGTGTCCCATGACCCAGGCAGCCAGTCCTGCAGTGTGTAAGATAATGCTGGGGATTCTGGGCATTTTAGTCCACCACAGCTGGAGAGCCCCAAGTTGTGGAAAGCTGTTGCAAGGGTGTGTAGACTGGAAGCAAATCTCTCCATTGCCATTTAACAATAATAATAATTTTCAAAAGACAGAGGAAGCATCTGATACAGAAATAATTTCTAACAGATAAAGGGCTCATGGTGCCCCCGTGAAAATCTCCTTTAACACTTGTGGGTAAAATCCGAAGTCACTGGATGGATTAAAACTCTTCTAGAAAGGAGGGGGAGTTGCACAGGGGCGTACTGACCGAAATCTGCCTTGACCTTCAGCAAACGTCAGCATCAGACTAAACATTCATCTCAGCCCCTCTTCCAGAAACGTCACAGCGTGGCTTTGCAAGCTTTCAAGGAGTGGTGGGCAATCTCTCCCCCCCCCCCCCCATTATTCAAGGACTGTCCACAACTTGGCAGAACGCGACCCTCCCATGCCCACCCGGGCTCCAAGTCTCGGAAAGTTTACATTCGTGCTCCCTCCGCGTTCACCAGCCATTTCCTTCGCTTGCCTTCTCACCCCTTCTAAATGTTTATTTAATAATCCTGAAAGAGCTATTAAGGTTTCCTGGGTTAAAATGTTTGCTAAACACTCTGTCAGTTCTACTTTTGCTGAGAATGCCCGGGCTGCAGCGAGGCCGGCCGGGACGTCGCTGCAGAGGAGGGCGAGAAGCGCGCTCCTTGCCGCGGTGGCGGCCCTCCCGCTCCCGGGGCTGCCCTCCTCCAAGTGGGGCTGGCCAGACCCAGCGCAGGACCCCCAGCGTCCCCCCGGGTGGACTTGGCAGAGGGCAAAGGGATTAGGCTGTCAGAGCCGCCCCGGATTACGAGGGCAGGTCACCGGCCGGGCTGCGCCTCCTGCACACATGGCTGCGATTAGCTGACCTCCAGGGCCATGCCGCAAGCATCCGTGTGACTCACAGCTCGGCGGGGGACGGCAGCGCTTGGTCTGTGGCACTCGGCTTGTGGGGTGGTGGAGAGGACACGCGGCTGGGGCCGTGGGGATACAGGCTCTAGTCCCCCCCACCTTGCCCCTCTCCGGGGGCTCCCTCTCAGCACCTTCTTCCCTATGTGCCCGTCTGCCTCTTCCGTTCTGAGGCGGAGGCCCTTCTCCGGGAGCCCCCCTTGAAGGAGAGCAGGAGGGTGGCTGCCCGGAGAGGGGCCTTTTCGGTGGTGGCGCCCCGGCTGGAACACACGCCCCAGGGAGGGTCGCCTGGTGCCGTCGCTTTATTCCTGTCAGCACCAGGCAAAAACCTTTTTATTTTCCCAACATTTTAACAGTTAATTGGTTTTATCCTTGTTTTTTTCACCATCTGTTGGATGCAGTGTGTTGTGTGTGGTTTCTTGTATATGGTTGCTTTTTTTTGCTTTTTTTCTTTTTTGTAAGCCGTCCAGAGACTTTTAGTATTGGGACAGCATATAAAAACTTTAAATAGTAAATAAATAAATGGCCTACCTCACAGGGCTGTTGTGGTGAGGATGCAATGGAGCTACATCAGTGGGTCCTTTGCCAATGGAGAGTCGGCAGGTGGAAATGCTGCGAAACGGCGATTCTGTGGCTTGGCACAGTTTGGGATGATCTGCATTCGGGGCCAGTGCGGGGGGCAGCACGAGCACGCCTTTGCTCCTGCGTCCGAGAGGGGGAGCGGGCTGAGCAGAGCAGGCAGAGAGCGGGCGAGAGGGGAGGCTTCAGCACCTCTCTCCCCCTTTCTCCTCCTGCCTCCCCTTATTGCCTGGGCCTGGGGGAGAAATGGGGGAAGGAGCAGGGGGCATTTCCTCCAAGGCATTCTTGGAGTCACGGACCTCCAGAGCCGGCAGTGAATGGTTTGCTATGTGAAGATGCCTTCCGTTTGATGGCTTGCCGAGGACAAGCCTGGGGTGCCGAGAAGGAAGCCTGAGACGGGGGAACAGCCCTTGGGCAGCAAGCTGGCCGTGGCCACAGGGCTCCTGGCAGCTCCCTTACCCACCACAGCGGGCAGTTCTGCATTTCTGTTGACTGTGTTTCTTCCTCTGATGGAGAAGGTGGCCCTTCTCTTTTGGCCGTGCGTAAGCGTGTAAGAGAACCTTCTGGAGAAGACTGAGCAGGTGAGCTGCGTGTCTGTTGAGTCTCTTGGCCGGTGGCCCGGTATGGGTGGACAACCTCAGGTTCCCCTCCTGCTCTCCCTTCTGAGGGTCCATTGTCTCTTAGGTGGAACAGTGGAGGATGGTGAGGAAGGACGTGTGGCTGCCCAACTGATGGAGAAGACCATGAAGCAGGTCAATATGGGAAGCACAGGACGCCAAAGCATGGGAGGCGACATCTGGCAGAGGACACTGAGCCCAAACTGCAGAATACTGGCTGTTTCCGGTTCTTGGGAGTTGTGCCCACCCCATCCAGAGGCAGCGGCAGTCGCAGCGAAAGGCTGTCAGATTGCACAGGTAACCCTCCCGGCCTTCTTGGAAAGGGAGGCAACGCTTGGGAGCTGTGAAGGATGTGTGCCCGGGAGGCAAGCGTGTCCTCTGCACTGGGTGGCCACGTCCACACGGCCATCTGGGGGAACCGGCATTCCCAGAAAGGAGCGCCATGGAGAGGGAGGAAGGCACATTTAGAAAGACCAGCTGCAAGTTAAATAAGAATATGACGCTTCTTCGTAGAGCGATGGTGGGACTGCTCGGTTTGTTCCCCAGGTGTGATCTTATTCGAGGCCCCTGCTCTTTTCCCTTCTCATGGTTCCCTGCCTTTTAGTCAGACTTGGGCTGGGCAGGTAGAGGGATCTTCAGATGGAGGGGACTGTCCTCTGGAAAGTAGGACATCCAACCAGCCAGCTTCCTCTGCGCTTCACCATGATCAGTCAGAAGCTTCTTCTGGTTGGGAGTCACATTAATCAAAACTAGCAAGGGTGTTTCAGAGCATGGTAGAAAAGCCCCAGAGTAGGCCAAGGCATCTTTTCTGAAATGTGGAAAAGGTCATCTGAGCTGGTTCATCAATATTTATATATTCATTATACTTATATCCTGCTTTTTTCTTACAATGAACTCAAAGCAGATTAC